GTGGTGGCGGCGGTGGTGTTGTTGCTGCGGTGGTGTTGTTGTGGTGCTGGTCGTCGTCCTGGGGGGGTGGTGGTGGCAGTGTGGTGCCGGTGCTGGCGGTAAGCACAACTAGGAAGAAAAGGAGCAGTAGGAATGTCGGTGAAGATGGAGAGCCGGATCTTCAAGTCCTTGCCGTTTTCCCTTTACGGCCCAGACCATGTCCGTGGTGGATCGCTTCAGCTGGCCGCGCTTCCTCGGCCAGCGAAGGCACCCTTGGGTTTGGCTTTACGGTTTCAGGTTTTGCACTTTTGGCCCATGTCATGAGTCAGGGGCTTCAAGGTCGTGCTTCCGAGGCTGTCGACAAAGACTTCGGGATTCAATCACGATGAACAATTCCAAAGCTTCCACAACGGAAGACCTCGGACAAATGAAGACCGCAGCCCAGATCCCACACTACACCGCCGACAAAACCCTAATACCCTATAAAAGCCTTATTTAATCAAAACAGTATAGAAACTTCAGCTGCAAGGTCCAGGATTCCAGCCCTGAGCCGCCTACGCTAGATAGGCTTCACAGCTTCGAGCTCTTTTGAAGGTTCTGGCACTTGTTGGGCTGGGTTCTGGGTTCTCATGGTTTGCCAAAACTTGAAACATGTACTTGCTGAAAACCCCAAAGGAACAATATATATATATATATATATATATATATATATATATTACACGCATCTATATGTATGCATATGCACGTTTATAAAGTAGGCAAGCAAGTAAGTATGTACTTAAGTGATATATATATATATATATATGTATACACACAAGTATGCGTGCGGATACATGTATGTATATGTACACACACACACACACGTGTAACAAAACCTGCAGACCCTCCAGTTCGCAGCAGAACACCGGAGATCCCCCGTTTTTGTCTGCGCATGCGCCGCGCTCGACTTCCTTTTCCGTAGGAGCGACCTTGCGCTCTTGGCAGGAGACATCCGGTGAGCCGAGGGGGCCAATGTTTAGTCAGCCAGATTTGGGAGCAAGGGTCCATGAGTTCGGGCTCAGGAAACCAAGTTCAGGAACTGCAAAACAAAACCTTGGCCGTGATGGCTTTGTACAAGGGTCTTGTCCCAAACTCTAACTGTCATAAGTCATAAGCCTCAGGCGAGCTTCCCCCCACCATATGGCCAAAGTACTTCTACGCGTGCTTGGACAAGCCCCCTGCAGCAGTGATCTGCCTTCCCTGACAGCTTTGCATGCATGCGGATTCAAATCGCCAAGAATGGCCAAGACCAATGGAAGCCTAAAGGCACGGCCTCGTAGCCGGCCGGGGAGGCCAGTGCGAACCCAGAAGAATTGACTTCGGCTTTAAGCTTGTTTGAGGATGGGGATTTGCCTATGAACGACCTAATTGCTTATTCTATGAGGGGATACTATGTGTAGGGGTCCAGGAAAGTTTAGGGCGTAGCCCTTGCCTTTGCTTTATCCGGATCTTTTCCTCGAGCCTGCATACTTTCTGAACGCACATGGAGCTGGTGCATGCAGTACCGACAGTAGTTGACATTTCGGGGGAGAAAACAACACAACACAGGAAGACCCAAATCCTGAAGCACCGTGGGCGCGGCACCGGCCATCTATGCCCTCCCCAGCATTTTCAGCAAGCATCGCCGCCTGCAAGATTCAAAAACTCCTGAAACTCAGAGCTTCCAGCTCTATCTGGCCATAGGAAGTTGCAACGTAAGATCCTCCGCTGGGCTCTTGGATCATCCTTGGATCCCCGTAGTATTAGGTGCTGGTCTCGACCTCAATTCTTCGGTTCTCCCAGAACCTCTAGAGCCTAAACCCTAAAGCCTTCAAAGGAATTTTTATAGGACATCATTCTAAAGCCCCCAATTGAAGGAGCCCCTGAACCCCTACAGGACCCCCTTCTAGAAATCCCCTTTAGCCCTGAATAACTACCAATACTATTTTGGAGGCTCCTTATCTATAGTATAGTGGGCCCCTAGACCCTATTCTAATTATTGAGTCCCCTACATTATAGTAGCCTTATAATACCCCTTCTAGACCCGTTTAAAGAAACCCCATTCTTTTTTTTCAAGGCGCCTTTTTCCTCCCAGTTATCATTAAGGCTCCAACCGACCCTTTTAAAGGAACCCTATTCTAATAATCATCATTAAGGCTCCTAAGCAGACGTTTCAAGGCCCAGTCCCCAGGCGGCTCTCGAAGCTTCGGGCTTCAACTCGGAGCTGTAGCCCGGTGCCAGATGGGGGAATCTCAGGGAGGGGCGCTTGGTTCAGGGATCCCAAGGATCCCTAGGGCTATCTTTCAGGGATTCTTCATACCAACGCCTGAGCTCCTACAAGAAGGGCCTTCATAACTAGAACAGGGCCTTCGGCATGGTATAATGATCAGGTATGTACGTATGTATGTATGTGTGTATACATATCTCCATATTTTTATTTATCTTACACGGACTAGAAGGGAAGAACAGTACTACTTGCTCCGACCTCAACGACCACTCAAAGCTTGGGGTTGAAGCGCCAGAGCTCGGCCGTAGACCCCGTGGACTCGCGGTTGGTGTCCTCCAATCAGCACAGCCCTTCTGGGAAGGGATACGGTCTAGAATGGGAGCCTCGATGAAAAACGGTGTTCGGCTTCGGGCGCTACACGTCTTGAAGCTTCAGATGGAGCCACAGAGAGGTTACAACGGTCAGTATATCTACTATTCATATCTATGTATTACAATGCAAGGCCTAGAGCCGTGTATTTGAAGCAATAGGAGAATCCTGCAAACTTCGTATCCGTCTTAACCTCAACCCCAAACCCAAACCCCGAACCCGAAGCCTTAAACATGAAGTGAGGCGGCTTGGGATGGCCTCAGACCGGCTGCCCGCCAGGCGTGGGCAGCTTTAGTTTCGGAGCGCCCGGGCACACAACACTAATCCATATCGTTCTGTATCATAATATAGTGGGGCATACAGGTATGGTATTGTCCAATCCTCGCCATGCTACTTTCAAGCCCTTCAAGAGACCCAAGCGACTTAGAACGTACATTTTAACCGGAGGTCAAGCTACCATGGATGAGGCTGTCTTGCTTCTTTCTAGACCTTATGACCCAGCAAAAGTTTTTGGTTCGCCTACCTTCGAAGTCTGCTCGAAACCGAACCCCCAAACCCCTAACCCTTACTCACCGAGTCCCTTGATTCCAAGCACCCCGAACTCCCCAGCTGTCCACAGCCGCGGCCAGGAGAAAGCCCTGGCCCTCGCCGAGGTTGCACATCCTGGCATTAGGGCTTCGGGTTTAAGTGTCTCAGTAAGGGCTCAAAGACGTCGAGTTCTGGGGTTTGATTAAGAGCAGGAGCATTTCGGATTTAGGGGTTTAGGAGGCTCGGAGTTTTGCTTTGACAGAGCGGGGTTTAGGATGGATGTGGAGCTTAGGGTTTGGAAGCCGCGGCCCGGGAGGAAGTCAAGTTTAGGGCCCTTGGGGTTTCGGGTTTACCGTGTGGGGTTCGGTCGGACATGCCATGCATGAAGAGGAAGGTCAATGAGGGTTTAGGGTTTAGGGTTTAGGGTTTAGGGTCAAGTACCTTGCTATTCCTGTGCTGGGCCGTTTTTTTTCGACGTGTAGTTCTTTTCCGGAATCATGAAATCCCTTTAAACCCACATAAGCTAGGGATTAATTGGGGTGGAGGGATGTTGAGTGTTCTCCAGTTCGGGATATGTATAAATATAAGTACAAAAAAATAAATAGATAAATAAATAAATAAATATATATATATATATATATATAATATGCACACACAGAGATTCATGGATATAAAACCTCCGAACCGAATCGCCCCTCCAGGTTCCAGCTCTGCCCGAGTGGCCCAGAGACCCACCAGCGGCCGGAAGGCAGCACCCAGCGTCCTACCTCTCAGGATTTTAGGGCCGGGTCCAGGGTTTCGGTTCGGGGCTTTTTTGGTTTAGGGTTGAGGGCGTTGGTCAAAGTCGTGATGTCAGGCACGATAGACACCATGACAATCATAAGAAAACTCATTGCCAGCAATTGCGGGGGCCGGCAAGGTTCGGGTGGCCTTGGCTTTGCACTCAGGATCCGGAGCTCCGGGAAGCGCAGCCCCACGTGTTGAGAACCAACCCCCCCGGCCCCCAGCAGTCATTCGCGCTACCTTTGAGAGACAAACCTTAAGCCCTCGAGCCCTGAACCCTAAAGGGCGTGAACAAAGTCTAAACCTTTCATGAACCCCAAATCCCAAAATCCCAGCCTCTGGAGCCTCAAACCGAAGCCCTTGGCATTGCACCAGAGCGGCCTCTTCCCCGCGGTAGTGTGCCGGATCCCATGCTGCCACCTCTTTCAGACAGAAACTCTGTAGCCAAGACGTATTGGGGTTAGGAAGCTTTCAGGCAAGGAGCTTAGGATCTAAAGCTTTGGGTTAAGGGCGTGGATCTCTAGCCATCCGATTGATTAGGTAATGTCTGCAGGACTCGAAGCCGCGAAAGCCTCGGACCCTATACACCCTCCTTCTGCTGTCAGGTCTACAAGAAGGGCCCGGAGCCGCAAGTTTCGCCTCCGCCAAGCCCTCCGTGTTCGTCTGGAGCAACCAAAGGTAGCCAGTCCTGGCAGTAATGTCAGTGGCACCTTACATGTGCTACTGCTGCTAAGTACCACTGTGACGACGCTCATTTACTCCTATTCTCACTCTCACTAGTTACTATAGAAACAGCTCGTACTGCTGCCGTACTAATAAACTACTCTCACTACTCTTGCTGCTCATGCTGCTCTTGGTACCCCTGCTGCTCGCACTACACGAAACAGTGTTGTGACGTGCACCGTGCCGCTGCGGCAGCTGCTGCTGCAGCTGCTGCTGCTGCTGCTGCTGCGACTACTACCCTTGCTGCTACGACTACTGCTGCTGCTTCTACTACTATGTCTTCTTCTTCTTCTTCCACTGCTGCTGCTGTATACTGCCACCACAGGTATCACCACTCCTCTTTGGACTACAGCGATCTATCCTGCTGCTGATTCTACCACGAAGTCCTCGGATCCGGCAGCACCGAGATGATCTTGAGACTGCTGGCCTGACAAGGCCAGGAAGCCTATGATGGCCCCTTCCTGGAGGTACTTTTGGGGCCTTCATAGTTAGACCAGGGCCCCGAATAGACTATATTTTTTATATGGAGCCCCCCAAAATAGTATAGGTAGTTATTTATTAGGCTCCTATGGTAGTTTGAATGGGGTCCCCAAAATCCCCCAAACTGCCTTTCCCCCACATCCTGTGCCCCTATGCCCCGAAATCCCGCAGGCCTTGGCAGTGCCGGTGTGGGAGTCGACCACCTCTACCACCTCCCTTGCGGCCTTCCGCCTGCGAAGGGAGATCACCTGGCTCGGGTCACCGTGCCTTTAGGGCCTTTGAGGCTTTAGCTTGGACGAAAGCAATTCCAGCTACATCAGAAGCATAGCATAGGAACTGCCAGTGGCTGCTCTTAAACTCACTACCGACGTTTCAGAACTCCATACTACTCTATACTCTTCGATCACCAGTAGAGGGGGGCCCACAGTTTTTCCAGCAGGAAGCGCTGAGCGCGGCACCATGTCCAGAGGATGAAGCTCGTTGCGGAAGGTCGGGCAGAGGGTCACCACCTGTGAAAATTGAGCTTCCGAACTTGAGGTTACGGATCTGGTGCAATATTAGCCATGGACAGAGACTCTTAGCAGTGCACGGAGCACCTTCGACTGTGCTCCAGTGCTCAACTGTGTTCATTTCCCCCTCGCTTTGGTGTTCAGGGAGCGGTCTTAGAGACGCTGATCGGGGACCCTGATATAGTACCCTTTAAAGTAGGATCCCGAGAATAAGGACCCCCAAATACCCTTTATAGTAGGATCCTTATTATAAGGACCCCCAAATAACGATCCGCCCTAAGTGTGACATAGGTCGGTGCCTGCCCTGAGTCCGTGGAGGCGAAGACAATCCAACCGCGGTCCGAAAAGCCTCGGAGTCGAAACTTTCGGAGGTTTTTTGGGACTGAAATGGGGGTTTCCGAAGATTAGGGGTACCCTAATATAGTACCCTAAATAGTAGGATCCTTATTATAAGGACCCCGAAACAAGGTACCCCGAAAATTAGGGGTACCTTATTTGGGGGTCCTTATAATAAGGATCCTACTATAAATAAAGGGTACTATTTCAGGGTACCCTATTTTCGGAAACTCCCAAATAGTTCCGGGTCCCCAAAGCTCCGGGAATCCTGGATCGAATGCCACTACGACAACGACTGCCTGGCATCACTAGAAAATACTGGAAAGACCGAAGGAATACAGGGGAATATAGGGCCCTTAATAACTATTAGAATAGGGTTTTGGGGCCCATTACACTAAAATAAAAAAAGGAATCCCAAAAGTAGTATTGGAAATTATTGAGGCCCCATAGCACCAACCCTAGACAGGCGACCGGAGCCCTCGCTGACACACTGCGCAGACTCCTCCGGTCCGGCGACGAAGATGCTCTCAAGCCTCACCAGGTGGGTGGTTGTCAAAATTATGGTCCCGCTTTGGGTCCTTATTATAATACGGCACCTACTATTTAGGGTACCCAAAAAGGGTCCCTACTTTTGACAACCACCCAGGTAGAAATGTCACAAAACAGGAGGAGACCCCAGCGATGTTCAGGCACTTTAGGGTTCAGGGCATAGGCTTTTGCACCTCTTGCCTACAAGAGGAACCTCCAATGTTCTGTCATTTTGACAAAACCCCACAATGCAACCCTAAACCCTAAACTCTAAACCGATACAACCTAACACAACGTGACACAACACCCAAAAGCCAGGCCCAGGATGCAGCTCTTTTTGGGCTTTGTCATGCGGGATTGGCTGGGTCGCAAGGGTTTCGCACGAGATCGGGCTCCGATGAAATGAGCTTTGTACTACCGATGGACACGTTCATGAAATATCGGAAGCTACCATAATTCCCATAACCTCCAGGGTGCTTTGAAGGTGATGCAGGATCTTGTGCATCAATACTATAGCTAGCAAGGCAACGACTGCAAGGTTCTATGGCTTTGACCGTGCCGTGAAGATTCTGGCAGTATTGATATGTGCTACTCCTAACCACTAGCGTCCTCATGTCCACAAGGATCTCTTGTACTCCTTACTTGCAATCCTGTCACTGTCGCATTTGTACTCTACCTGCTGCTACTACTGCAGCTCCTACGCTGTCGCACTCTTGCGACCACTACTTTTCTGCTGCCACAACGACGACGACTACTACGGAAATTTTCTTCCTACAGTTAAATGTTACGTAAGCCAATGTATGCAGAAAGTTATCTCCAAGCCTGCTTTGGGTTGCATTCAACAGACAGCAACGAGTTGAGCCGCAGTCGAAGAGAAAGGAGCCGCCACTTGAGCACAAAGCCCTGAACCCAAAGGGCTCCCGGTACTTATATAGTATACACACAGGCCTCAAAGTACCAAAACCCTAAACCCTAACCCCCATACCTCCACTCGTTGCCCCGAAGCCCGAGCCTCTTAAAAGGAAGCGTAGGACTCAGCGTCCAAGATCGCACCTCGGCTCCGAGAACAATATCTACATACCTACGTATGTATATAGATAAGTATACATACATACATACATACGTATATATATATATATATATATATATATGTATATGCATATCTATACATCTAAATATCTACAGATCTGCGATTTCCCAGCTTCGGATTGTAAGGTTAGGACGGTCGATGGCAGTTGTGGTCTTGCAGAATAGCCGATGAAACACACAGCGGCGAGTTTCACCTAGGCTTGGACCCCGGTAACTAATACTATATATTCTATATATATATATATATATGTGTTTGTATATATACTTATGTAATGTTATTCGTGATATCTTTCAAACCTAGACATCGATATCTCTCCATCTATCTGTTTGTCTAGGTATCAATGTATCTGTACCTATGTCTATGTGTATATATATATATATATATACTGTATATCGCTATATCTATACCTTGATGTACCTATGTGCATACCTGTCTCTGTGTCTATATCAATATCTGTATTATACAGATACATATACAAAACTTTATCTAGGTATATGTACATATGAAAAAATAGTGTGTATATATATATATATATATAGACACCGTACAATAAGGGGATACCCCTTGCTCATTACATATGACCAGAATACCAGATCAGGCCAGCTGCATGGGTGTGGCTTCGTAGCGAGTACTCCTCCAGAGCAGTGCCGTGCTGGTTCCTTGGCCCGAACCCTAAACCCAATGGCATACTATAATAAAAATAATGCTATAACAATCATATAATACTAATACTATAATAGTAATACTAGAATAGTAACAATACTACCATAGTAATAATACTGCAATAGTAACAAAACTGTAGTAGTACCCGGGGGAACCCAATGGTCTTTGGGGTACAGCTTGCGGAATAGGCCTCGGGTCTCCTACCCCCCTGAACTTCTCAGAAACCCTAAGCGCTAGAGGTGCTCTCATGTTGAGCCCACGTGGGTGTGCTGGCTTTAAAGGAACCCGTACAACAAAACAAGGAAGGAGACGGCAGCAAGCAAAGCAGTCCGACCTTAAGTGCCCAAGGCTCAGCAGAAGCAGCATGCGCCTTGAGGAGAGGAAGCCGAAGCTTTTCCAGGACCGATGCCTGGGAGCTCTCTCTCGCTGGCAAGGCTTTGAAACCCCGAACCTTGTGGAGGGCCGTTTAAGGAATTCGTGTCTGCTGGTGGCAGTGACGAGCAATCAGTCTTCGTCGTCGTTGCAGTGTTCTTGTGTGTTGCTGTTGCTGCCGTGTTCATGCTGTCGTAGGTAGAGTGCACGAAACACACGACTGCAGCCGCCAGCCAGCGCCCAATCGCATCTCAGATGCAGTGTCGAAGTTGGCATATCCACCTGGCATTGGTAGCTCATGCGCGAAAGATTACGGGGGTGGCAGCTTGCGAGAACCAGCGAGGATCTTTGAGTTCACACTGAACAAACCCGGGTACCGCAGAGTAGATTCGTGTAGTTGTAGCGGTAGTCTCAGGGGCGACGGGGACAGAAGGTGGGCTGGGCGCCGTCCTTGAGTTTCCTGGTACAGTGCCCAGAACGTCTGACGATGACGAAACTGATGACATGACTATCTAAGACATAATAAGGATTATCGACGTCTTCTTCATGAAGGCCGTCGCTTCGGTTCCGAACACGACATCTGCACAATCGCACCCCACCTTCAGAGTCACCGTTCGCAGCTGCGCAGGCTTCAGTGGGTCATGCTCTGGCGCCATTTCCGCATCCGATTCCTCCTGCAGGGTGGATGTCACAAGAAGCCGGCGGCGGTTGAAAGACTCCTCTTCCTGAAGATGTAGTGCCGGAGGGCTCAGTGAGAATATGTGACAATGTAATGATTGCTTTGCCAACCTGAAACTATAACTTCGACCTCTTGCCGCCGTACTCTTCTCTACACCTCGAACACCTAAAGCCTCAACCCTGTCCTCGTGGTGGCCATAAAATTCCAGCTTTCCCATGTAGATTTGAAACCTGAGATTTTTGATCGAAAGAGTTGCATCGGCAGGCAGAGAGAGAAACCGACATTTCGAATTCGGAATCCCCTGCTTACATGATGCAACTTTGCCGACTTCTCAGGAATACGCAAAAGTCGCACAAAGGCTGCAAGCCCGGGTATCCGGTGTCCTGCCCCATACAATTACTGCACCCCAGCGTTCGCCCATCACGGCTTGGGGGAGCTCTTGTTTGTTTGATCCAGGTATACAGGGTGCACCAACTCGTGTTGATGGGGAAGCTTGTGGCGGTCGACACGGTGTTCCGCATCGCCACACTATCCAGTGTTCAAGTCAAGGGCAGAAAGTGCCTGTTTCTCACAACTCCTCAGGCCTTTTGCGAACTCGTGTACAAGGACCGTAGCAGGACCCTTAGAGAGGGCCCCGCACTAAATCGTCCCTGCCAGGAAGCTGGTCACCCAGCATGAGTTGCCGGCCGTCGTCGCTGCAGGAAAGGGCGGACGGGCGGAAGTGCTCGTGGGCCCAGTCCTAGACAAGGCTTCAGTGGCCTGGGGGTCTTTGCGGCTGAGGCTTTGTGCTGAGATTGGGAAAACATGTGGCTTCATGTTTAGGATGTTGCGTGTCCAGGTTGGGTTGTGCCGGCCCGATATTCGGGTATAGTCAGGTTTAGGCTCCCGATTCGCAGGTGCAAGGAGGGGCTGGGAGTGCCAAAAACACACCGCATGAACCGTTAAGCCAGGAACCCGATAAAAATCTTGAAATCTTAAATCACTTCATACAGGGGCCTTAATAATTAGAATAGGGTTTTAGTATAAGGAGCCCCCAAAATAGCAGTGGTACTCATTAATTTAGGCCTCCATATTAGGCACTTGGGGAGGCAAGCTTCAGTCTGCACCCGATGCAGCGCCGTCCGGTCGAACATCTCGCGAGGCGCCACGCTAGAGTCGTAATACCTCACTCAGGGTTGAGGGTTTAGGGGTTTAGGGGTTTAGGGGTTTAGGGGTTTAGGGGTTTAGGGGTTTAGGGTTTAGGGGTTTAGGGGTTTAGGGGTTTAGGGGTTTCGGGGTTTAGGGGTTTAGGGTTTAGGGGTTTAGGGTTTAGGGGTTTAGGGTTTAGGGTTTAGGGGTTTAGGGGTTTAGGGTTTAGGGGTTTAGGGGTTTCGGGGTTTAGGATTTAGGGGTTTAGGGTTTAGGGGTTTAGGGTTTAGGGCACTCAGGGTCCTTCTTGGGCCTTTCTACCGTTCAGGGTTCTGGGTGTCGAAAATCGGGGCTCAATGATTCAAGGGGTTCAAACCGGGCAGAAACAAGGGGTTGAGCGTCCCGATCTGAAGGCTCCCATAAGAACCCGCATGCCGGGCATTTTTGGTTCTCTTCCGGCGTTCCCGGGAACCAGTGTGGGCGGGGTTGAACATTCAAAGGATCTTGTGGGGTTTAGGGTTAGGGTCTCCGCGCTCTTGGGTTTAGGACTACCTTGTGGCAACTCGGAGCGGAGTTTGGGGGTGCCGTCCCTCGCAAGGGTCCCAGTGAGTTTTCATCTAGCCAAACCTTACCCAGCTGCGAAAACCTACCTCGACTCACGACGCGACGCTCTTGTTTGCAACCAACCGCAGCCCAGGTGCTTCGGGGAGAAGAGGATGAATCCCGTCGTGAGGAGCCAGGCGACCAGCTGTGCCCATGCGGCCAACTGAACACACCTTCGCCAAGTGGATTCTGGCTTTATGCCCTGGTGTTCTTTAGAAGGTTCAGGTGCCTGCCCAGTGCCCATGAAGCAACCCGAAACATGCTGCATTTGAGACAGCCTCCACAAGCCCCCAACCGTCAGGGAGCTAGTAGCAACGGTGAATTTTCAGGCAACATGGCCAGTGTAGTTGCGGAGGGTCTGGATTACTCTCACTTCCGATCTTTTGGCATCCTCTCCTGAGCCCTACTACCCAAGCTTCTTAAACCCCTAAACTCTTCAACCCTCTTTAGGTCCCATACAGCATATAGACTGCAAGACAAACTATAGGGATAGGGGCACGTTGTGCTTATCACAATAAGAGCGCTAAAAAACCTCACACCCACTCTACCCCCATAGGCCAATGGCTTCCAGGATACTTCCAGGGCATGCGGCTGCTGCTGCTCTCCAGGTCCGGATTCTCGGGCATGAGCCTTCAGTGATCCATCAGGATATTTGGGGGCTTACGATGGGGATTTATCACAGGGCTTCCGAAGGGCGTATTCGGGCTGCATGCAGGATTCATAGGGGTGTTCGCAACTTGTGGTTTGGGGCTTGCGGTTCTTACCTCATGTGCCCATGATCCTACAAGCATTCCATCGGATCTCCGGGTGTAATGGTCGAAGCTTTTAGGGCTTTCGGTGCTGGGCTTTTGTGGTGCAAGGTGCCGAAGTTCAAAGCGTGGGGGGGCTGTAAGCAAGATGACTACCGTAAAGATATCTTTCCCGCCCTGACACTTGACACGCACCCTACACACCCGTGAACCCCTTAACCTAGAACCTGCGCCATTAACCTCTAAGCCCCTAAATTGTGAGCCCCTCTGACTCTTTGACTAATCATTAAGGACCCTACCCATAGGAAAGGCTCGGCAGCCAAGAGGCTCGAAGGGCAAAGACTCTTCCGCCAGGGTGGAGACCTGCGACAAGGGCATCTGCGAAACTTTCGTACGTCTCGTTTGGGCTCAGGAGTGAGGCTTTGGAAACGGGGCTTGGGGCTTAAGGTTTGTATGCCGGGGGTGATTAAAATGGGTTTAGGGCTTGGGGTTGGAACGTTAAGTCATGAACAGGGAGATGTGCAAGGATCAAGAAACAGCCTTACCCCAAATCCTCCGAACTGAAACCCCGAAAGCCCAAACACCGCGACTCGAAAGCCCACAACTCTAGAAAACCTGAACAGCCCATTCAACTAAACAAAAGTTGCGAACCCCACCAACGAACAACCCTAAACCCTAAACCCAAACCCCAAACCCTAAACCCGTCTCGTTTGGGCTCAGGAGTGAGGCTTTGGAAACGGGGCTTGGGGCTTAAGGTTTGTATGCCGGTTCCAGGGCTCGGGGTGATTAAAATGGGTTTAGGGCTTGGGGTTGGAACGTTAAGTCATGAACAGGGAGATGTGCAAGGATCAAGAAACAGCCTTACCCCAAATCCTCCAAACTGAAACCCCGAAAGCCCAAACACCGCGACTCGAAAGCCCACAACTCTAGAAAACCTGAACAGCCCATTCAACTAAACAAAAGTTGCGAACCCCACCAACGAACAACCCTAAACCCTAAACCCAAACCCCAAACCCTAAACCCGAAGCCCCTGAAACCCTAAACCCGCCCATGAGAAAAGCGGTGGCAGTCCGGAGCGGTCGGGCCTGAAATCGGTCGAAGCTGCCGAAGCCGAGCCGCACCTGCTGAGGCCCACACCGACGTTTTGTAGGAGGGACCCTTGATCGGGACGCCGACCCTATGATGGGCTCTATAATGGGTATATAACAGCTATATTGAGGGTATATACCTAGGGGTCCTTATTAAGGACCCTGCGGATCCAAAAACCTACCATTTTAGGGGCTAGACCCTATAATCTAAGGGCAATACGTACTATTCCATAGGGTTTGGGGTCACAGGACGTTTTGTAATGACTTACCCTTGGTTAGTAGGGGATGGAATAATGATAGTAATAGTAGTTATCACTGTACCGCAGTCCTCGATTCCCTACTAACCAAAGGTAAGATGAGGCTGAAGGTGGTGTTAGATTAGAGGGATATTGGTTTAAGCATGATTTGGCCTTTTCGTGTGAGGAGGTCTTAGGGTCTCAGCGTCTTAAAGGCTATAAGGCGGTGCGAATTCGTTGAGGGTTTAGAGGTTATAGGGTGCAGGGTTTAGGATTTACGTGGTTTCGGGCGTTTCGGGTTAAGGCTTAGGGTCTATAGGGTAGGGTTAGCGAATGACTTGCATTCCGAAGCGTCTAACATTGATGCTGATCCTATTTTGACCCTTGTATTGCAGGAGTATTCACCTCCTCATGCAGTGGCCTTGGCCTGCCTGCAGCGCAAGCGCTAATATAGGGGCCTGAATAATTATAAGAGGGTTTTGGTGCCCATTATACCATAACTACATAAGGAGCCCCAAAGTAGTATATAGGTAATTATTGAAGCCCTTATAGTAGCAGCGGGTCCCTATAATAAGGCTCCTACTATTTTGGGAGTATTATATTAGGGTCCCCTATTTTTGGAAACTCCCACATTGTGTATAGAGGTTGTAGACTCGTAGACCCACGGAGGACTCTTGAATATGCGGCTTGAGCAGTATAAAGGACCAAAGCCAGAAACCGCTGAACCCGAAATTGTGAATCGTCTTCAAAGCTGAGTGGCATATCCTCAACTCTACGACTCTACGCGCAAACCTTGTTTCGAAGCTCGGAGCTCAAGTTGAATCGACTTGCCCCCGCTGTATTCCCACGGCATCCCTCAGTCAGCAGCTTTCGGCATATCCGGAACCACGGAACGACAAAAGCTTTTCCTGGCTCGATGTTCGTGATTGCATAAAGGCTACTGGCTACTTGTGAGGGTCCGCCAGGCCTTCAGCTCTTCCAAGGACGTGCTGAGCCGCTTCATATCGATGATCTGCCCCACCTGCTTAATAATTGGAATAGGGTCTTGGGGCCCATTATACTATAGTTATAATAACGAACCCCCAAAATAGTATAGGTAATTATTAAGTCCCCCATAGTCACCTGCCGGTAAACCCAGAAATTCGGGGATTCCGAAAATTCCGGGACATACTGATACGGCTTCCGAGTTCAGGCTTTGCTCCTCCATCCACCACCCGACTCCTTAAGCCCCCCAAAACAAGCGGCCCAACCTCCGGCATCTGCCAGCTAACTTGAGCCGCCCGGCAGTTCACCCAGCAGACCTCTTCACCTGCAGTGGAGGGGCCCTGAGGGGGTCTCCCTTCCTCCCTCGGAGTTCGAAAGTGTTTACGGTCATTGTACTATTGTCGGGAAGCTTCAGGATCTAGGATCTACAGTGCTGTATGTCATGGAAGTCTTGAAGGTAGTGCTTCACAGCGTAGGCCCTTGCAGACCTCGAACAAGTGCTCAGACTTGGGTTTTCAAGGATCTCCAGGGACTCATGTTGGCCTCACAGGACTGTACTGTAGGGACCATGAGAATTCGAAAAGGGTCGTGGGGTAAATATATTGCCCCGGAGCTATATCAGGGCTACTACTACTCATTGTTCCTACCTTGTACTCCCTTCTACAGTCCCTTGAAACCACAAAAAAAACTTCAGTTCATACAGTTACAACCCCATTTTGACCGGGTGCTGGTTCCGTCCAGGTAGGTGGATTGCAGCCAAGCCGGACCACGTTGGTCCCAGTCCTTGGCATGGCAAAGAGGGCCAGAGGGCAGTGTCGCTAGATTAACATGGCTCTCCCCACACGATCCATAGCTAACGCAGTTTCTGCGGGTTTTGTTCGCAGACTTTTGTCAAAAACTGTTCCACACGAAACATACAATGACATGTTCAGAAACGCGGTTTCAGCAAGTCGAGCGCGAAAGAAGCGTGCGCGATAACCCATCAGATAGATTGGCGACGCTGGGAAACAATGGCATAGTATGGTGTGCCACAGCATGTTGTGACAGACTGTAAGACACGAGCAGCGCGAGTTTCCAGGCTCCGGCTTGGGGAACCCCTGAACCCTGAGCTGTAAACCCAAGCAAAGCATCCATCCTAAACCCTTCATAGGGCACCATACTTCCTGAACTAGGCCATATTAGGTCCTTGCTTGGGCATCAAGGCCCCCTACCCCCCTAAGGGTCCCTACGAACCCTGGAGCCCCAAAGCCTTTCCATTCTCCACTCGATGCACGGAGCTACGCCCAGGAGGTAGGCACATCCTTGGCCGCCGAACTGATTCTTTGAGGCAAGAGCTTCTACAGCCGTATTGGGGCATTTTACAATTTCACTTAGGAAATGCCGAAAATTCTGAGACCCATCGGAAACTGATCGGAGCCAGATTGCAGGGTTCTGGCCAGGATTTGCGGCTTCGCGAAGTGAAGAAGAAGAAGAAGTGCAGCTTTACGGGGTTTATAAGGCCTTAGGTTAGGACTCTCGCTCTCGGGGTCTGTAGAAAGCCAATACGCAGTGATACGCTCCCTTACCTGAGAGGACTTTGGTAAGCCTGAAAGCATCCTTCCAGGCCTTTTGGGTAGGTTTTCCATCTTCTTCAAGAAATAGATTTCGCCGGGCGTCTGCGTTTCCAGCTCTTGTATTCGATCCTGCGTGACAAGATTAAGCTTGAGGACTGCCGGGAGTGAAAACTAGGCTTGGGCTTTATGCAGGGTCTTGGGGCTTTGGGTTTTGTGTTCTTTTTGTGGGATCGGGGTTCCGCTGAAGGCTGGCACTCAATCCAAGCCTGCGCCAACTACTACCGACATTTTTACGTGCGGCTTGCTGGAACGGACCTGCCTGCTTCTGCGGCTGCTACGGTTACCATTGCATGATTCTCTGACAAAAAACATGGCCACGATGTAGTACGGTAGGCCAGCCCCCACACGCAATACCGAAGATGTCGGTCTTTGCTTTCCCGGTGGGAGCTTGTTCCTTCTTAATCGCTCGCCAGCTTCATTATGTCATCAGAAACTCGACTGCAATCACAGGGTAATCAGTAGCCGAAGGTCCTACGAGTTCCCCTTTGTCTGGCAAGCGATCGATTTGGGGGTATCGGCAGAGGGCCAGGGAAGGCAATAGTTACACTGCTTACAGCAGGGATCTCCATGATAGCGCTCCCAGCAACGAAATGAAAGACTGAGCATGCGGCCGTCATGCCCTTGTCGCCGAGGCTTCTCGTTTTTCTATGCCATACTCATACGCGTGAACCCTGAATCCTAGGCATAGAACAAGGCAGCGACGCTGCTCTCGCCGGCCTCCATGGTGTAGTGCAGCTGCTTAAGGTCGTCGCCTGCCGTCTTGAATTTGTGGCTTCCCAATTTAGACCGCACACTTTTGAAATTAGTGGGTTTCCGAACTCGCCAGGCTCCTGGTATCTAGGGCCTAGGGTTGCCAACTCCCAAAGGCTCAGTCCGAATCGAGCTCAGCCCCTCACACCTGAGCCCTGAAGCCCCAAACGCCAAGGCCCTCGAAACCCTGCAGCAACCCGCCAAAGACGAAGCCCCACACCCTGAACCCAAACCCCAAAGCCTTGCACACAAAACCTGAAAGAGCTCAATCTGTATACCCCAAACTCCGAGATTTAAACTCTGAAGTCCTAAAGCTCAGATCACAGCCCGGGCACTCTCCTCCCTGGACATCTCCTTCGCCACCTCGGAGCGCAGCAGCTGTCCGAGAGTGTTCGAGATCCGCTTGGCCTCCTCACGGCGATGATAGGGTTTAGGGGTTTTGTAAAGGGCTGATGAAGCTTTGTGGGTTCTACAGGGATCTATACAGGCCTGCGGGATATCCTACGGTTCTGTGCGCCTGAAGAGATTATGAAAGGACTGCTTTGGGTCCAGTACAGCCGTGCAGATTGTGTGAAAAGTTATTGGGTTCGGACGGTACGGTTTGAGGCTATAGGTTGAAGTTGAAGGGCTTTTCGTCTTTCGAAACTTTGAACACCTGGACGTTTTTGGTCCCTGGAGACCCGAAATCGTAAAAGCAGAAGTCCACTCCCCTAACCAACAACACCTCAAAACACCAGAATGCTGTTAGACCTAGGAAAACCTGAACCTCCAAGCCCCAAACACTAATGTAGAGCCTTTATAGGGTTTCGGGTACATGTTGCCATGACTATTTTTACAGCCCTACTCGCTATAAGCCCTATAACCGGCCATAGTGACTATAGTGGAGCATACAACCCTGAAACCGTCGGATCCGACCCCCCTTAAAGGATCCCCAAGCCCCCTTCAAAGGACCCCTCAAGGGATCCCCAAACCGGCCTTGTGCGCAGTGATGAGGCACTGGCGATCGGGCCGCCTCTTGATGGACTCATAGAGCACTCCCTCCGGATTCTCCTGAGGAGGTTTAGGGTTCTCCGTAGAGTAAGGGTTTAGGGTTAGATGGTATTGCAGCTTTCTTGGGCTCCTTAGAATAGGGTTTAGGGTCTAGGGTTGGAAGGTTTCGAAGCTTTCTTGTGTCTGTTTTGTGCCTGCCTGCTTTTGCTGTCGTAAGGATTGGTTTTTGGTCCTTGTTTTCTTGGACTGTTTGGTAAGGTTTTGGCGTTTTGGGTCTTCGGATTTGGGTTTTTGGGGTTTTGGGGTTTCGGCATCGATGTTCCATCCAGTGCCCCAAATCTTCATCTCAACGCTATACTGACAGCCCTGCAAAGAAGCCCGAGAGACCCCTGATCCTGCAACTCTCCAAACCCGAAATAATGCCAAAGCACGGCCCGAAACCCTAATACACATGATTGAAAACAACACCCCTGAACCTGAAAATCTGGAAACCCGCAAACAGGTGCGAGCTTCCCAGTGGTGGGCTGCAGCCACAGAGTTGCGCACAGCTGCTGCGGAGAAGTGGCGGTTGTGCCAGCCGAAGATGTCCAAGTAAATGGTGGAGCGGAAATTCCTGGGAATTTGTTTTGATTCTCTAGCACTAGAGAACCCCTCCACAGATACTTCCACCGTACTACCCATAGGCCCCAAAGTAGTTCCTTTTTGGGATTACCTTATAGGACTATAGGATTCTATATATGAACCCCCAAAAAGGAACTACTTTGGGGCCTTAGGGTAGACCCTAGACTTTCGGCCTTGCACCGTGGTATCGGAGATCGTGGTTTATACGCAGCTTCGGGTCGATTCAGAGATTTCATTGGCTGTCAAAGAATCGCACAACGTCACGTACTGTATCATCTAGCACAAACCCGGAATAGGTAGGTATTCCTTAAGGCCGATTATTGCAACTATAATGATAGAATGGGCCCCCAAACCCTATTCGAATCATGAAGGCCCCTACGCTCAGCCCGAAGAGATTTTTCTGCTTCTTCCCTACAAGGCCGAAGGATCAATGGCAGGCCGGAACCTTCAATCAGGGGGGAGGCCACCCGCAGGATCACCTGGGCGTTGAAGTAACCAGGGAGCGAAAAGCATAGACTTCAATTTCAGAATGGTTCCCTTTAAGTAATAAGTCTCCCAAAAAGTATAGATGTTTATCTTACTGCGGTTCCCTTTGAGTGACAGGTCCTCAAAGAAGTATAGACTTTTATTTCGTGATGGTTCCTTTCAAGTAGCAGGTAGCCCAAAAAAGTTAGTAAAGTATGGTCATATGGGGGCCTTAATAGTTAGAATCGGGTTTTGGAACCCCTTATACTATAACTATTACAAGGACCGCCCCCAAAAGAATGTTGGTAATTATTTAGGCCCCTATATTACTCCAAAGCCCAGTCGCGCAGATCCAGACCATGTGTCCCATGCACGCGATCAAGGCAAGGACCCAGGGGAGCCAGGCTGGAATCACCTGCGGTTTAGGGATTTTAGGTAGCTTCGGGTTGGGGGTTTAGGGGTTTCGGGTTTACAACAGGCTTTAGGGGTCTAGGGTTTATAATAGGGTTTGAGGGTCTAGGGAATAACGACTTATAATAGTAGTGTTTAGGGTTTGGGGGTTTAGGCTTGAGGGTTTGTTTAGGGTTTATGGCTACCAGCACCCGGGACCCCGAAGATACCGTTTCATAGAGGCGATTGGGTAGTTGGGGGGTGCTGGTACCGTTCGAAGTTGAGGGTTCAGGTCTTCTTACAGGTAGTGTTTGGCGCTGACTTAAACAAATCACGCAACGAGGTGTTCCATCCAAACACAGAGCCGAACCGGATAGAAATAGCCCGGGTTGAGGCCTTAGCTGAAAATGGGAATCTCCAAAAACGACATGCAGCTAACCTTCTTTGAACCCTACAAAACAAGCATTCGATAAACGAACCAAGACCAGCGCGAATCAACCCTCAACCCCCTGCCTGGTCACATGGTTTGATGCCCCCGGCCCCGTTGTTCGTCCTGGCTGCCGAGAGGTGAATCGCAATCCCCGCAAAGAAGGGCGGCAGTAGCAGGGTCAGATTCACCAAGCGCCGCTCCTGGACGGGGTGTAGTCGGATTAAACCACCCCAAAAGACAAACCCTAGGTCACACCTAAGTTGTCAGTGCAGGGCATCGTATGCAGGATGGGACAATGAGGGGTTCGAGTCGTCACGTGTACCATTGACGTCACAATGAACTGTTTTCTCTGCTCGGAATTTGGGTCATTAACAGTTTGATCCCTCGCCGCGACACGGCAAAATGGTCCTGCAAGCAGGACTCTGCGTGTCGAAGTCTTGGTAAGTTATAACTAGCATCAAAGCCTGAAATTCGCATGGAAGGCGGGTGATTGGAAGAGTTGTTGTGCCAGGTTTCGGGGCTGCCTGCAGTGGGAACAGCAGAACACTATCGAGGATCAGAAATTGACCTTGAGTCCCAACTGCTGGGACTCCAGGACTTCTGCGTGCAGAGCCCGATGCCTCCTGAGCCTGAAGCGGCCGTGCCTATGTCTCGGGAAGACTCGGGTTTAGATGTTACTAGTAACATGTGGTACAAGGAGCATGCACCACTCCTGGATGCTGCAGAACAAGTCTAACCTGAAGAGTGTGGCGGAGGAGAAAGCTCCAGCCAGCAGGGACAACCACGCCGCCCCAGGATTCTGTCCACGGACGGGCCAGTGATCCATCTTCGACATGAAATGCCCCAGGGAGTAGTAGCAGCATACCATAAGCATCTGCTGGCATGCCACGAGCAGGCAGATGCGCGCGTAGGCATCGAAGCAGCAATAACCCCTCTGAACGCGGCGCAGCATCCAGAAGTGCGAGTGCATCACAGCACTGCGGCCAGGACCGCCATTGTCGGAGTTCTCGAGATGATGAAGGACCTCCTCGCCAGCGTAGGGTGCATCTGCCAGCCAGTCGACAGCTGCCGTCTTCTTCGCGCCCTTCACCCGGGCCTTCCGCTGCTGGGCGGAGGGGAACGGCACCGTTCGATTGGCCGAGGCCGTGTTCTGAACCGAGGGGACGCTTTCCATCTCGGTGTCAAAGGGCACGATGAAGGCCGGAGGCTGGAAGAAACGCCCGGTACCACCGGCCTGCGTCTAGCTGTGGTAACACCGGAAGCACGATCCCCTCACGTTTTCCACACCCAGCCTCGAAGTTCTCCTGCTCCCTTGTGGCATCCTGGACATCCTTTAGCGTGGGCACCGGCGGCCGAACCGCCTGGGTCAAGATCTTGACCTGCACCAGGGTCCAGGTTGCCAGCGACTTAAGCCGTGGGTTGAGGGCTGAGGATCTTCTTTTGGGGAGTTGGGTTCCTGCCTTGGGGTTTGCTGGTCTAAGTCGTAAATACGAAACTGTCACGCCGCAAGTCAGAACCCCGACGGAACCTTCGCCGATCGTTGGGAGATGGAGCCGTGCATTCCTAGCCACACGCAGAGCATCCCGAAGGTGATGCAGGCGAAGACCGTGTTGTTCCACATGGGCAGTAGCCACCTCGGCTCTGGAGGGAAGGCCGGGTAGCCCACAAAAATGAAATTCATGACAGCTGTGACGACCAGTGCGCCCACCAGGATGTAGTTATCCATGGAGGAGGTCGATAGTCCAAACACGTCGTGGACATCCTCGCGAAAAAGTCCCCACTGTGCCAGGCGCATGCTCTGCACCTGGTAGATACAGGTCTGTCTCTGCTCCGCATCGAATTTAAAACGATCCAGGTTGTAATAGTACACAGAGGCAGCAGCGCCTGCTGAAGCAACAACGGGTATCTCCATGATTAAAGGGAAAAATGTGCGCCTTTCCGCACCGGCTATTCCGCCGTGTGACCTGCTGTGAGCCAGCGCTGATGCCAGGGGCAACTCGACGTCCACGTGTCGCAGTTTTACCGACAGCCCTCCCCGAGCCACAACGAAGCAGAATCTCGCGAAGCTCGGGCTTGTCAACTAACCCTAAAAACTTCTTAAGGGATTTCATACTAAGTGCATTACTTGCTGGTACTGTTACTGACTACTGAGGTACTGAGTTGCTGAGTTGCGGGGTTGCTGAGTTACTGTTACTATTGCTACTACAATCACTATTACTATGGCCATGAACCATGCCACCGCCCTGCAGCTGCAAGAGTCAGGCCCTCTGCTGATCCGAAACTCTAGGGGTGTGGCTTTGGCAAGGTGATGATGTTCTCCTTCAGCTTGGACCACTCCTGTTCAGGCTCTGGGGTTCGGCTGACGCAGCTCCTGAGTTCTTCGGAACTCTCCAGCTTGCAAGCCCCAAATCAAACAAAGCTTCGGGCCCGACAGCCCTAGGCCCTCTCAGAGTCCAGGCCTTGGCATCGAAGTAGAGTTTGCAAATCTTGCAGACCAACCTCGAAGTCGAAAGCCCATCAGAGGCCTCACGCAGCTCGAGAGGGCTAATGAGGGCCGGAACCCTCAAACCCGGAAGACCTTGCGCCCTAAACTCGAAACCCTTATCCCCAACTCCAAACCCCGAGCCCCGCGACCCCCAAGCCTCTAAACCCTACCTCCCCCCCCCCCCCCCCCCCCAAAGCTTATACCCTAAAGCCGAACCCTAAAACCCTAAAGCCCCAATAAACCTCCGGAAAGGGCCCTGTTTTGGCCTGCCGGGTCTTCTTTTCAAGGCCCAGCCTTGGTTACGCAAGAGAGGGTGGGCCGTTGTAAGGCACCTTTAAGGCTTGGGGTTCAGGGTTTATGGGGGTTTTAGGGCTTAGGGTCTCGGGGTTTATGGGGGTTTTAGGGCTTGGGTCTCAGGTTTAAGGTTTAATGCCTGGGCTTTAGAAGTGTTCCTAAACGGGTTGCTATGCGGGTCTAGAGCCCGGCAGGGTTCCATTTGTAAGCGTTGTGGAAGGATTTCACAGGGTTGCGTATAGGGCTCTGAAGAGGTAACAGGGTTTTGGGGCATATACTGTAGCGGCCTCAAACATTGGAAGAGGCTTTGGGGGGTATTATAGGAATACGACTGCCAATAATTATAGCTCCTATCTTGGAATTTGGGTTTAGGGTTAGCTTCGGGTGTGGGGTTTGGGGGTCTCAGCGCGAAAGGGTTGAGGGCTTTTGGGTTTCTGGGTGTGGCGTGCAGGGTCGGGTAAGTATGGTTTTAAGCATGGTGTTCTTAGTTCAACACTATTGCGGCTACTGATGATGCTGATGCCGCTGGTTGTGATGATAGTCAGGTGATTCCGGCCATGATGACACTAGTACCGATTCCGCTGCAACTTAGTGTCTGTGGCAGTTAGTGTTTCGTTGCCGTCGAAACTCGCTGGGAATCGGCGGATTTGCCCGTGCTTGCAGAACCCAAGACACAGCCAGTCTTGCCTTGGGCACTTTGCGGTCTAGAGTCTAGGGCTTTACGGTTAGCCCGCGGATTCAAGGGTCAATTAGTGAATCAAGGTTCTTGGCCCAAGAAATTCAGAAACAGCCCTGCGCTGGGCCAGGTCCCGGGCAGCATCTCCACCGCTTCCTCGAGCCGGCCCGCCTCGAAGAATTCCAGGAACAGGGATGAAGTTTCTTGAGGGGTCCTGAATAAGGCTTCAAAGGAATCAAAGCTGCCATGGCAACAAACCTGCGCTTCTGGCGCAGGCTTTTGGGCTTCGCACTTCAGGTTCAGACGTAAGGACTTGACTGAAGCCTTTGGGGCTTAAAGAGTATAGGGTTTGCCATCTAATAGAAATAGACTGCGCGGTGTGATGGTGACGATGTTTCTGTCGATGATGGTAATGACGATGAAGAGAAGAACAGGGGGAGGAGGAGGAGGAGGAGGAGGAGGAGGAGGAGGAGGAGGAGGAGGAGGAGGAGGAGGAGGAGGGCGCACTGCCAATGCTTGATTGGATTCTCCTTCTCCTCAACATCAAAGCTATTGTTCCTCTGGCAGTCATTACAGAGCCAATCTAGATGATCACTTTGTAACATATACATACGTACCTACCTACTTATAGTTAATTATTGATTAATTGCTTGACGAAGAACCCACACCATAAAACCATCACTACCATCACCACCTGATTCACCCGCGAAAGCTCCGGCTCCCCTCCGCCTGGGCCATGCCATCCACGCGGGCCAAGAGCTCCTCTGCCTCCGAAGCGGGCTGCAAGTCTTGCAGGAACTCTTACCGTAAGCCATTGTAAGAATCAGAACTAACTAAAAGCAGTACGTGATAGGAAGCCTTACTTTAGAAGCGTTTTTGCCTGCTATACTCCGAGTCGTCTCTGTGGCATCGTTGGTGGCATTGTTGCTCTGCTTCTTCGGTTTTTTTCGAACACTCCTATTGCAACTACTGCTCCTCCCAAGGCTACTACGCAAGCCACCACCACAGCTCCTGCTGCTGCCAACACTGATCGGGTAGCAGTGCTACTGACTGTACGGGGCACCCTAAAGGTGAAGTAGAGCTGGAGCGGGTTGTCTGGGACGAAAATAACCCTGCATAGGCAGCAATTGCAAGTGATGCCGTGATCACAACTCACCTTGCACCACCAAAAAAGTTTAAGATCCCGAACCAAGAACCGAAAACCCCAAACCTTAAACCTGACAAACCCGAAATCCCAAACCTCACACCCTAAAGCCGTGCACCCATAATGGCCTCCTTGCTGTAGTCCTCAGTGGCCTTCGGGTCCTGGGAATAAACGAGACTAAGATCCTTTGGAGGAGGGTTTGGGTTTAGGGTTCAGGAATTAGGGTTTGGGGTTTAGTGTTTAGGGTTTGGGCGGTTTTTAGTGGTTTGAGGGCTAAGGGCTGAGGTTTTGTCCTTAGATTTTTCGGATTTTGGGGCTTTTGCTTGGTGTACATGAAGGGCTCCCGAACGTATTCAGATATCTCGATAGGACCAAGATGGAATGTAAGAAGTGCCACAAGGCTCCACCTAGTTTCAGGATTGGTGTGGAAATGTGTGGAAGGCTTCGGTCTCAGTCTCAGGGTATTGGTCTGGGGCGCTGGATGTCCGTGGTGCAGCCAGCCAGTTTGATGAGGGCTGCAGCACCCCACAGCTCAGAACTGAAAGGCTTTGGCAATCGTGGCCATCGTGGTGATCATCAACATCATCGTCATGAATACTCAATCACCATCCACATGCTCATCCCAAACCTTCTCTAACAACTCAGCCTTGGTTCGAGGGGATCTTCCTCCTCGGCCTCCTCCTCTCCTCCTCCTAATCACCATGACCGGCGATGGAAGCGTCATCAGCCTTGCTCTCCTACCATACGTCAACCCAGTTCATTTAAATCACTCGGCTCTGAAACTCCTTCGCCAGACTCCCAAGGAGAGGATTCAGCGTGTCCGCCTGGGCAGACGGTGTCTCGTTGTTGAGGCTTTGGAGGTCTGCTGCTTCTAGGCGTTACACCAACGGCGGCTTTTGGGGCTTTGGAGTCCTTTTTCAGGTAAAGGCCGGCTGACGATTGTTGGGCTTTGCTTCTTGCTCATGCGGCATGTGCCGCTAACACCCAATCGCCGGAGCTCCTCCCAAACTTGTTTCAAACCCTGATCTCAGAATCCAAACCCTCCATCCCAAAGCCTCAAAGCCTGCCATCCTCAAGCGCCTATAAGCCTCTAAAGCCTTGCAGGCCCTACCTCTCCTTCCTCTAAACCCAGCCACACGAAAAACAACCCAAACAACTTTGGGATCCCGGCCATACCTCCACGCCTGCGGGCGGAGCGCAACCACATGCGGATATTAGCACTCTCAGTCTCAACAACTTTCCGCCCCAGCCTAGGCCCAAATGCTAGAAGCCAAAAAGATGATGGTGTCCGTCTCCCCCCCCCCCCCCCCCCCCCCCCCTCCACTGCACCCCAAACCCGCGATGCCAGACCGTCAAACCCAATCCCAAACGTCAAAAGCTCGAAGCTTTACATCTCCAAACTCCCTATAAACCCTAACCCCTAGACCTCGAATTCCCAACACCCTCGACCCTGAACCCAAGAACCCAAGAAGCCGAAGAGAACTCAAGACTCCCAAGTCACGACTCCTCGGGGCAGCTGGGCACGCCGAACCCTCCGGTCAAGCTACGGCCGAACCAACATGGCTGCAGGTGGGGCGCGGTTTGGTGCGTTTGGGGGTTGGTGCATAGAGGTTAGGGGTTTTGGGGGGTTTTTGCATGGGGGAAGTTGAAGCTTAAAGGTGTAGGGGCTGGAAGTGACTCTAGGGGGGGTTTGAAGGCTCTAATTCTACGGGTCGGGCACCGTCTGTGGCCTTTTCGAGTCTGAGCCTAGGTTTTCTTTACGGCTTTGGAGCGAAGAGCTTCAGGTTGAGTTGCGGCTTTCGGGCCTGCAGGCTGCCGAATCTTCTCCGGGGGAACTTAGGTCGAAAGGACCCCCCAGCCCGAGATCTCGAAGCCCGGAGTTTTCGGCTGCAGCTCCCACTCCGAGGAGGTCGGCTGGGGCATCTGAACCGTCTTTCCCTCATCCTACGCGCGCGCGCGCCGTGCAGAAAGTCGTCGTCCGGCAAACTTGGCGGGGATGTCCCGGAGCTCGAAGCTAGCTCCGAGGTTCGAAGACCTGATGACTCTGGCGAGAAGGGGGTGGAATTCGGGGTTTCAAGTTCCCGAAGCTGAAAGCCCGAAGCCACAAAGATCCTTAAGGCGAGGCTCTTGTCGGGCCTGCTCTCACTCACGCTCCGGTGCGCTGGCGCTTGCTGCCGTGCTTCTCTCGGTGATCCTCCACAAAAGGGCCCATTATAACCTGAATTGGTACCCGATAAATACACTCCTAGTAACTCGGATACTAGTAGCCTGTAAGAGGGTGTCGTAACGTTTCTATCCCGGCTTTGAGATGGC